GCGGAGGCAGCAGGCTGTGCTCTATTGGAGTATCCCTTTGGAGTCTCCTTTTCCATCCTCTCCTTCCTTTCATTCGCATACTGTCTGCACGGCACAGGCATCGTTTGTTGCGAACCCATCGAGAGGGGCATGCCTTGACCGCTGAGGAGCGCGGGCTGGGCCATGACAAGTGTCGGTGACAACCAAAAGTGTTCATCTGTACCAGCCTTTTAAGAGAAGCACTGCAGCGAGAAGTCTAGATATCTGGCAAGATACGAAATAATAAAACATTTATAGCTAAGCAACATCAAGCAGCTAGCATGACTTCGTGAAGTACGTAGAGAGAGTAAATAATGCAGCACAAATAAGTTTCGTATCTCTCTGAACCTTATGGAAAACATCTGACTTGCATGGATAGAAATGTACCTTACCATAAAAAGTGAACACATTTCCACCTATCTGTATGGGGTATCTCGGACATCCCGATTCGATTTCTTTTCTTACCTTTCCGCTCCCTGGCGGCTCGCCTGTGGAATGCTTCACTAACTTGGTTGCTCGGTGACACCTAAAACCTCTCAATGGACAGACGCAGCCAAGCCACAAGTTGAAAAGAAAAGCACCAGAGAAAAGTTCATGAAAATAAACGCTAGAAATGTGGCCAACACAGCCTCATTGGTATGAACTCCCGAACATGCTGGCACACTAAGACAACCTGGAGGCTCTCAGATCACAACCCTGGCTCACAGATCGGTTATACTCGGAATCTTCTTAGGTGCGGTCGGCAACCTTCCACTAATAAAAGACCATTCAAACAACAGAAGCTAAAAAAACAAATTAAAAACACTGGAATAGAAACTTAGTGTTTCTTGAAACTCTGTGCACGAATTATGACTACGCTAAACGACGCGTGACGAGCTTTCGCACAATCGATGCCATCACTGCTGATGTTGAACAGACCATGTCTCGCGCTCAGGTAATTCGTGATCGTCCCTGCAGAGATGCAAAGTAGTCAAGCTAAGAGGCTGTCCCACTATTTCACCGAGCTTCACAGCGCGTGAGAAGGGTGCACAGCCGCCGAACGGTTTCGCGCTCCTCTAAGCATCCTCGCTCATGTTGGACCCCCCCCCACCTCAAGACCACCCTTCCCTTCTCCCCCCTAACGCAGGGCGCTGATTGTTTGTGGGGCGGACGGGCATACAATCGGAACCGGCAGTCTTTTTTCTTTGCAGCGACAATGCCGTCTGACTCATAAGTAGTTCTGCTCTCCCTTTATTTACTTTTTTCTTCATCATTTAAGACCTACAGTCAACAGCAATGCGTCTCGCAAGCGTAAGCCAAAGCGTTCAGATTTTCGGGACGTGCGACGCTTCGGTCGCGCCTCGCGTTCGCCGTGATCGAGTCCGTGCCCTCGTACGGCTGCTTCCGATTGCCGGGCGCGATCGATCGTGCGCTGAAGACGGGGGTGTCTAGCTAACAATCCGTCCGTTTGCGGCAGGTGGTCGTGGCGGGCCTACCTACGGCCCACAAAAGACAAAAGCAATGCTTCTGGCGGTTTGTGATATAGCGGTTATTGAAGGGAATGTAACATATGATATCACCCAGTATCGCAGCCTCTGTGGTGCAGTTTATGGCGTCAAAGTCTTCCAGTCAGAGCTGTGAAAAGTTCAAATACGAGCACGAAATTCTATTCGGGCGTCTTCATACATTTGCTCTGGTTTCTCATCTATTTTAGCAGTCAGCTCACGGGAAACTCTTCCTACATTTGCTCTCGGCTTTCCTCATCTTGTACAGCAGCTCACACGAGAACTATCTACTTCGCTCTATCTATCTACTTCACTATCCGTCCTATCGATATTTGAACTGCTTTCGACCTGCGCAAATCACTCCGTGAACCACGGAAACTCTGGGCCACGAGAAATCTCGGCTGTTATCCTGGATTTTTTCTCCCGACATATCTCGTCTGACTCTACTGACTACAATAGAAGTTGCCCACCCTGAACGGCCAGTTGTACGTCGAACGCACAGAACGTGTGCTGTATAAACTAATCAAGTTACGGAATTGCGTCCTGAGCTCATTGAGAATAATCCTGGAACTAAAAATACAGTTTGCGTGATTTTACGATAACTACGATGCATTCTGCCTCTCCACAAACGGCGACGACCATAGCCTATCTATGGAAATGCACTAAGCCAACACGAGAGCTGAAGTCTTTGTAGCGTCTACATCCGCCAGAGCGCGACGCCGCCGCGTGCCGCGGGCGCTCGCCCGACGATTCTGCTTGCGCGCTCTCCCATGCGTCGCCTAGTCCTAGCGCTACGATTGTTGTAGCGCTGACTGAATTAGATCTGCCGTTCCAATGCCGAAAATCGACCGGACGGACGCAACTCACCGCGCTATAAACTTATTTTCCTGCGGAGGCGTTCGTATATTGCCGCTAGGCCTGGCAGCTGTTCCTAGCCGTAACTGGGACGCTGTTCTGAACGCTTAATTCACACCTTCCCTGAGCCTGCGGCAACCGCTCCCTTGGACCGGAGCACACTCGTCACGAGCCTTACATAATTGACTCGCATCATTGATCGACCGTACAATGGTAGGACGCCTCCGTAGACGCGGAATTGGTAACTTGGCGTCCAACCACCCATCCCTCTTTTTCCGTTTGTGAGCGGGTTTTCGACTTCTTTAGGCGCTTACCTAACTAATTTTGAAACACACTACTAATACTGTATATTGACATTGCCTTTATTCACTTGCATTTCTGTACAAGTGCGGAAGCTACTAAAACCATTGTCGTGCAGTTTTTTTAGCAGTTGCCATTAGAAACTGATTCTATACTGTTTTGCTTACTGGAAACGAGCATAGTTTCATGACCATTTTGCGATTCATCGACACTTTTTCTTATAAGTCGGCTCACAGTCATTTTTCCTTCGTTAACGATCATCGAGAGCTTCTAACAAGTGCTTTTCTTTTTGTACCTCTTTGTACACCATATTAACAGAGACTATTCAAAAAATTTATTTACATTCGGCTTAAATTAGATTTTTCCTGACACGATATCTCGACATATATCTAAATTAATCTTCCAATTTTCGGTATCTCTCCGGTGAGCTCGCTCGATATATTTCGCCAAACCTGCAAACAAATTTAGGATTATTAAGTGCTTCAGGTACCCCACTAAATGAAGCGTCACCTTCTCATGCTAGCCTCAATTGTTTTCCTCTCCGTACCGCCGGGTCCGCACTTCCTCAGATGTTTCCGCTCCATTGTTCCTGCGGCGGCTTTCTGGAAATATAAATGTCGTCAGAATAGTGGGTTTGTGTGAGCTTTTAATAAAAGTTTACCTCTTAGTAACCACGCAGCGTTGCACTTGCTTTGAAAGTCTATGCTACTTGAGCTTCTCCAGCAGCGTTCTAAAGTCGGCGCCGTGGTCTCTTCTGAACCGTCACGTTGAGCGGCTGAAAAAGAAATAAAACTAGCTTCCATTTACACAATGTTTGCTTTTCCGAATGCAATCTCACTTGTGGTTACGCTTCCTGCATATAATTCGCGTGTTCGCAGATCCACCTTCTCCCATCTTATTCCACATATCCTTAAACGGACCACTCAAACCCACCGTCGCGTGCAAGTTACTCACAGCGAAACTCCTTGCAGCACATAAGCGACGTGCCGGTTCCATGCTGGCCTGCTGTGGAACAGTGCGCGCCCACAAAAGCTGCGGACCTGAAGCTTAAAGACACTTACCGCCGATAAAAAGGGTTTTGCGGGTAATGGTGCCCAGCCTAACGAAGCAGTGCGCCCATTTGCTAAACCCCCCCCAGTGGAAAAAAACCTCGCGAACACCCGGCAACAACCGAACCTTCCCTTTAGCAGTGGGGGCGGGGGCCTTGGACGCAGTGCGCCGGGCTGTGGCTGGGCGGGCATCGGAGTGCGGCGGCCGCAATGCCCGTCCCCGACTTTCGCAAATTAGGCATAAATTTATCGAATTCTAAATTAAGGAACAACTAGGAAACTGCGGAAACAGGTACACCCCTGACGCACGGTTGTCGGAGGGAGGCAGAGCTCCCGTTTAATCCGATCACTTGCGTGTGTCAGAGAACATTCCGGGCATGCGCATTAGTCCCGATAAAACCGGTGTTTCACGTGATAACTCTACTGGGGTGCTTATTTCTGTCAGAGTGGAGCTCGGGAGAACAGAGGAGGCTTTCTCAGTATCTCATGCTGCTTCTGTCTATATCCTCTTCCTGCTACGCGCGCATGCCGATGCTACAAGCAGCAAGCGCGGAGAAACAGACTTTCGTACATGCATACCTCATCTCCTGGCTGCTTTTTCTTCAATCCTCCTTCACTGCCCTTCTTTACGTTTCTTGCCTCTCCTTCTTATCCTATGTATGCTTTCTCTTAAGAATTTGCGCTTCCAGCCAGCTATAAACAGCTATAAACCAACTTTGGCTAAGTGCCAGAGGGGCCGCGCACGAGACGCGCCGCGCGGGCGTTAAAGGGACGGAAGCAGCTCGGGTCCACCTACCGTCTCAGCGAGCCTAGCGAGCCTTGTGGAAATCGCTATAACTTCCTCATCGCGCCATATTGAGGGATGATAGTGCTATCATCTTCGTCAAGGCGTAGAGGGTTCCAAACAGCACGAATTCATTTTGAGGACTACTTTATAGCGGTAAGTGTCTTTAAACACACTTCATTTTTGCCACATTGTAACACATTTTCGTTCCTACCCCCGGATAGAGACGTCTAGGCGAAAAATCACCCCTTTTATCGTGTCCCACCATTCAGCTACGGCGAGAACTCTGCTGCGGCCTTGTACGAACTTCTTCATGCCATCTCGCCGCCTGAATTGAAGTAGAACTGAGATCCTCTTAGATTTAATTCGAAATGAGATGGATGTATCATCTGTTCCAGGCTTGCGCTAGGTGAAAAGCGCCCTTCCACACTTGATTCTGGCGCTTTCTTAAAGTCCAGTACAATCCGCAGAGGCTGCATCGGCCTCGGGCGGAATTGCTCAAAAAATTCATCAGGTCCGAGGCCCGAAGATCCTCAAGTAGATATCCTCCGTGTTCCTCGCCGTTACTGAGAAGAGTAGCGGGACCTCCGCTCCTCCATCACATACTCCGTATACGCAGTAGAGCTGCATGAGCTCCTTTGGTTGCTTCGAATGCACTCCATCAGCAACTGCAGCGTATAGGCCACTTCGGCAGGCCATCTGAAACGACACTCATTGCTTTATTTGGACACAAATGTTTTTTGTAATGCGAGGATTTGTTTACCTACCTCTGCAGTTTCCTCGGAGTAGTAGACGTGGAAGTCCAGCTCACGCTCGTGAACGAACGTCCTGCCATCCCTCAGTTTGGCCAAGTCGTCCGGGAAGTTATTGAGGGTGGCCTCCTTGTCTTTATGTGAATTAGTGGCCCTGAACAATATTATATTTGTGAGTGTGGGGTGACTTGCTGCTTCTTACCGCGAGATTGCTTGCCGCTTCATCCCGTATCCCCATCCATAAAGACGTATACCTGCCTCGGCACCCTTCCAGCGTAGAAAGGATCGTCTTTTACGTCTCTAACTTTCTGAAAATATAAGATATATCGAAATATAAGAGAAAATATATTGTCAGGCATTGATCGGTTATTGGAGGACCTCGTATCCTATCCGTTTTGCTTTGTCTTCTGCTGCTTCGTTTGGAGTACAGAAGTGGTCCATAGCGCATGGATTACTCTACTGAACTCGTCTCCAGCGGCCTCAAAAAAGGCCATTTGTCGCTAATCACGAAAACGGTACAAGTGTAGTCTCACCTTTATCATTTTCCAAGCATTCGTTTTTTCACACGCCACGTACTGGTAGACATCCCGATTCTTGGCTCTTCGGGCGAGTGCGAACGAATACGATGACATTGTACCTGGGATTATGTACGTTAAAACTTCCCTCTTTTTCTGCTTGCTTACCTCTCTTTGTCCCTTATAAGTGGAGGGCCCGGGTTGAGGAGCAGTCACGCCGGTATCAGCATTGACAGCAACGTTGGCCGGTGCCGCTGGAAGTGCCTGAAAGACAGTGTAAAGGCCCTGATGAGGGGCCGTTAATGTTATAGAAATTAGTAGACATGACGAAAGCAAAACAAGTTCACTCAATACGAATGCAACTGCAAGTGACGAATAATCTGTGATTCATTTATAACAGCCACTAGCATGTCATGACCCAATTACGACCTTAACTTCTTTTTCGAGATAAGTTACGGGAGACTTTGTGTCTTCTTTGGGCATATCAAATGAGACAGCGACGTCGCACGCTCCCCTATGGCAGTAATTAGTGAGAATGTTGCTCGTTATCAGGGTCGCAATGTCAATACCAACTTGGAAATGGAGTAAGGGACTGAGTCCATAAAAATTGTATCAGGGAAAGCAAGAATTGAAGAATAATGCATCGAGAAGCTGTTCTGGTAACTTTTTTTGTGCAAACGTGTAAAAAAACAGTTGTTAGGGACTCTTCAACGATCGTGAACAAGGAAAAATAACTGTGAGCGAACTGAGAAGAAGAATGTGTCATGATCCCAAAATGGTCATGAAACTATGCTCTTCCAGTAAGCAAACAGGATAGAAATCAACTTTTAAGCAACTGTAAAAAAAACTCACTACTGGTTTAGTACCTCCGCAGTTGTACAGAAGTACACCGAATAATCGGTAGCCGTTTATAGCTGTAGTTATGTAATAGGTGGTAGGAGAAAAAAAGTCGAAACTCCGCTCAAGAACGGAAGAGAATGCGTAGTTGAGCGATCAGTACGCAATTCGGCGTTTACGGAGACGTCTCACCATTGTAGGTCGATCAATTATACGAATCAGTATGGTGCGTGGCTTGTGGACGAGTTCTCCGGTCCGAGGGAGCGGCTGAACAGGCTCAAGGAGGTGTCAATTAGCGTGCAGCAGCGTCCCAGTTACGGGAGGACAGCTGCCAACCACGCCATACGACACACACCCCTTTTTCCTTCTTTCTCCCCCCGTTAGCTTCTCGCTTGTTTTTTCACCTTCCTACCACTATTTCTTCTGTCTGCTTCTAGTGTTTGTCGGTCATTATGCTTGTTTACCTTTACCGTCTTGAAATTTTCAGATACACTGGAATTTTTCGGATGGGTGCGCATGCTGCTGCGATGTTGAGTGCGCGCACTTCCTCTATTTCTTTTTGCTTTATTCTTATTTGGCTGCTAGTTTCGCGCTTCAACCATGCTGGAAACCATCTATGGCTGTTTCGAGTACTATCTCGCCGAAGGAGCTGAAGAGCTGAAGTCATTGCTCGCCGCGAGCCGCCTGCCCCCCTCCCCACCCCCCTAAATACGTTAGCACCCACGGCCGCCCATCCGAAAAATTTCAGTGTATCTGAAAATTCCAATATGTGTAAAGGTACACAAGCAAATAACCGACAAACATTAAGAACAAATCAAAAAATAGTGTTAGGAAGATGAAAAAAAAGCGAGAAGCTAAAGAAGAAAGAAGGAAAAACTAAGAGAAAATGGCTGTGAGTTAGCATCCGTTCAGTCGACTTTTAAATTGGAGGCGATCGAATCAGTCGCGCTACATAATCGTACACACCAGCGACGCGATCGATCGCCCGAACGGCGGCCGAAACGCCGCCGTCGCGAAGTCTCAACGCTGCCTTAGACTTGTTCGAATCACCAGTAATGCAATTTTTTGGTGTAAAAGCTCGACATGCATTGCTACCGTTATCTCAAATTCGTGTTCAGATGTTTCGAAAATATCTGTTACGAGTTTTGCTTCACTGTTTTTGTTGTTTTTTTTCTTTTCCTTGCATTGGATGATATCTAGCACTTGGAGATGCGACAAAGCAATTTGTAGACCAGTGGTCCCAAAGAGACCGCACGGCGTTGTAACTATCAGGGAGCGATTTTGTTCATGGTGTCCTTGGAGATTTCTTTTGCTTTTTTCTTCTTTGAGACTCACATGTGAGCTACTATTTCGTAATTGAACAGCAACTATCCATGTCTTTGGAGACGATTCCCGCGATTAGGTGATCAGCAGAATGCTTCCGCGCATTTAACATTTAGCTCCGCACACGCATAGCGTGCACCACTTACGCCTCTCCAAAGGGCGAGTTGAAGCGGCCACGTACGGCTCTTGCACACTTTGAGCAATTTGGCTGACTATTCAGGGCAAGCTGCGCAACTCAGCTCGCGGAAGAGTAGGCAAGCTGAGATTCTTTGCGACAAGCATATGAAATCGTCTTGCGACGCTGCATACAACAAAATGCATGCACGTAATTCACCGCATAAGTTTTGCCTTGCAGTCTGAAAACAACGTTTACAAGAGTCATGCGTCTAGCAGTACTGAGCAGTACTTCCAAAATCATTTGGGGTTTTTTGATGGAGCTACTCTCATATTGTACTTTGAGCTTGTGCAATTTATTCTTAAGCGTTTTGACTGTTTTATGTTGTTTGCATCTCGCAAACCGCGACCGTTGTTGTATAGTCGTGCCACACGAGCCTTCAGCAGCGAAATTTGCCGGGGCTCCTTTCTTGAAGTGAAACTTTTTGTGGAAGACGGCACGAAATTAGCTATCAATTCATGACAAACTCTCAAAAACGCATCATAGCACAAGCTGGAACTCTCAAGAGAATCAAAAATGTCGCTCCAGTTGACACGCAGCAGTTGTTCACAAATAGTTCCGTAATCCGTGGCGGAAATTTTTTATAACCTTTGACCGGAAGACTGCAGGAGCTCCAATTGAAAATGTCACGGTTGCATGGTGGAAAACGGAAACCCCATGTATAAGGTGGGGTTTACACCAAGATTCTGTGACCAGGACGGCTTTGGTATTAGATTGAAGGAGATCGTAGTTCGGGTAGCTTATTATTGATTGAGCGCGCATTCATCAGAATGAATCTGTTGCTGTCTTTAGGACGATATGGTGCTTCGCGCGGAGGGGAACACGAGTGCGAGGAAACCTGGCCCTATAAACCCATCCCAGGGCTTGCGTATTCGTTATCAACAATCCTCAGGTTGGAGCCCCGCTGGCTGGATGTAGAGGCGCTCCCATGAAAGGATGCACTCGGTCTCCCCTGGGTGGCCTCGCTTAGCAGAGCACCCGAAAATGTCATTCGAAGGTTCCCTGGCTCCCGTTGAGCCGTTGAAGCAGGTAGAGGGAGTTCCCGTGGATTCCTAAGTTTGTGTATCTCTAGGTATCGCACAACATACGTAAGCTTCCCTGCTTTCCTGTTCATCTCTCAAGCTTGCTTTCTCAGATTCCTGTCAAGATCAAGCTCCTCTTCCGTGTAGTCGCGACGAGCGTATGAGTGAAACGCTTTCGTGAGACTCTGTCGCCCTGACCTCGTGTGAGCCAGTAATCTCTCTTTGAGAGCCCTCGTTGGTAAGTCGATCTTGAGAACCCGTCCTCTGGCGTTTGCTCCTCTCGGTTGGCCCTTCGGATGACGATGTAGGGTGATACCACCGTTCGCACACTCAGCCGCGAGCTCCGAATCCCTTGATGTCTCTGTGACTTCCTTGAGCGCCTCATGGTCAAACTTTCGTGTCGCGATGTCGTCCCTTTGCTCCCCATCCCAATCCATGCGATCCGACGGAGCTTATCCTCGATTATGGATCCGTCTGCTTGGACTTTCACGATCGTTGAATACAATGCGCTCTGGGACATAGGGGCAGAAGTTTTCATTGCTTCAATGGTGGCTTCAACTGCGTCGAGTCGAGAGAGGATTGAGGGCTGGATTTCATCTATCTTGACGATCTTGACGATCATCTTCTCCAGCGACGACACCAAGGCCTTCTCGATCCACTCACTGCACAAATACTTCTCAATCATCTTCGTGGCCCAAGGTGGCATGTCCTTAGTAGTGAAAGAAGCGTCGTCCTCGACAGATTTCCTTTTGCTCAAATATGGTGGAATCTTGCCACATATTTGTCTTCGCCGTGGTCTTTGTTGCAATCTCTAAAGTCTCTCGGGGACCGAGTTACCGACATTTGTGGGAAACACCGCCCATCTCGAATACGCCCATTTCGAGTGTGCCTTCTCCATTTGATGGGTCAACCTCTTGCTAACCATGTCCCACTTTTTCCCCATCTCGGGACTGCCAGACCGGACGCACCGCCCATTTCTAGTACGCCCCGCCCCTTTCAGATGTGTCTCCTCCGTTTGATAGGTCAACCCTTTGCTAACCTTGATCCACTTTTTCCCCATCTCGGGACTGCCTCGGAGCCGAATTATGGATTTTTTCCAGTGAGACCGCTAACTTTCGACGCATGCCCCGCCCACTGTGTGCATGACTTACTATGGGTCGGTTGCTCCTTACATCTTGTCATATGCCCTACGCATCTCGACCTTGACCCTACCTCTCAAAGTTGTTCTTCTGGTAGAACCGAGTTTCCGGTCAAACAAGAAGCAAATGGTATATAGTGGGTGATAATTACCTTTCCGTGGTAAAGGCAGACGTTTAGAAGCCGAAAACAACAGAAATTAGTTGAATCGGCGTGTCAGATTATCGATCGCGATGGTGTCTGACCGCTTGCCAGTGTGGATGAAGGACCGCCCCACCGTCCTGTGAGAAGTCTGCTGTATGTGGTTTGAAGGCATGTTGCCAGGGTCTCAAATAGTATTTTTACAATAACATATAAAGAGACCAGTTCGAGTGGCTCAGGATTTCGCCCATCAAAAGCCCATCATATCTTTCAAATTGGTGAGTCTTCAAGAGATTATGGGTGAGGAAAACGCTACAATAGAGGCATTGCTTATGCGCCCGCCTTCTGTTTCCTACGAGCCCCGCATCTGAGAACTCCTGTCCACACCTAGAAAACGCACTGCGATTTCTGTCCTACCAAGGAGTCTGCTCTAGCGTCATTTTGCGCTAGGACCGCAGTGCAGCTGCATGCGCTTGCAGATCATTCCGTATCCAGTCCTTTCCGTTAGAGCCAACAATTAAAGCAGGGAGGGGGGGCGAGGGGTCGTAGCGGTCTTTTTTTTTTGGGGGGGGGGGTGAGGGGGAGGAGCGTCCTGACACCACCCTTCCACACATCCTCATCGTGATGTGTGGAATGGTGGTGTCAGGACGCTGTACCCTAGCTGGCTGTAGCCTCTTCAATGCTTATATCACCGATATCATAGAAGGAGTAATGATCAGCATAATTTGCTGGGCAGGGTTTTTGGCGCCAATTGCGGTACGAGTGTCTTCCTCTTTTCTTTTGCTCACTTTCTTAGATTTCCTTTTCGACCTCTCACAGGACTTTACTTGAAAATCCAAATCACATCTATGGGTCTCGGCATTGTACAGGATATAGTGTATCATATGAACTAGGCACATCGGTTGTCAGTGTTTTGCTTGACAAATGTATTTTCCGTTATAGGAAATCATAAAGGAAATCAGTATTATGCAACAGTGTGATAGTAAATATGTCGTAAAGTATTATGGGTCGTATTTCAAGAATTCTGATTTGTGGGTGAGTGATGTCTTTCGGTTTTTCAGCTTTTAATATGTTTCGTATGAATATTTACAGATTGTCATGGAGTACTGCGGTGCTGGTTCTGTTTCCGACATTATGCGACTAAGGCGCAAAACATTAACCGAAAGTGAAATAAGTGCTGTTTTGAGAGATACGTTAGAAGGACTAAAATATCTTCACAATCTCAAGAAAATCCACCGAGATATCAAAGCTGGCAATATCTTACTAAATACGGAAGGGCAAGCGAAACTGGCCGACTTCGGTGTAGCTGGACAATTGACGGTATGTTGCTGGTATGCGTCTTATGTCCATCGTTCCTGTTGTAAAGAGAGGGAGTTCATATTCTGAACTTTTCCGTTTTTGCATTATTAGATATGAACGCAGAAATCCAACTCTAAACGTTTGTGCTAAGTAACATGTGGTAACACACTTGGCATGCACCGACGCAAGAGTGATGTTTTTGTCAGCGCTCTCTTCACGACCACTGCCAACGGGTTGGATGGCGCAGTGGATAACCGACGGGTTCTGGATGGCACGGCAAGGGGAGACTTTGTGGATCGAATCCTCCTCGCTGAAAATTTTTTGTATTTTTCGGCTTGGATTACCCCTAGGGACAAGTTCTAGCCAAATCTGACGTTTCGACCTATCTTGGAAAATGTGGGCCATTCTATGGACAGTTAGCAGCAGGCTGGGGTCCACCCACCATGGATGACTGGTCTTGGAATGGAATTTCCTACCGGTAATCAGGAAAATGATGCAGGCGACACGAACAAGTGAGCCAGCATTGTTCTTTGCGAAAAGACATGGCTGAAGGGTTTTTTCTGTGCAAAGACCAGTCATCACCAGTATGCTAGTCGAGTATTGGCTATCACCCAGACGTGACCATTTCTACCCCATTTTTTCGAAGTTGAGTCACAACATCGGATTTCCTCAAGTTGGCGTTTCTAGGGGTTGTTTGACCCCTGAACACGAATATGATATCTATTTCGCACGGAGGGAGCTAAGAGTCGCGCTACAGGTGCAAATTCACTGCACCAGCTCGCGCACAAGAAGAAAAACAGTGGAGGAAAACCTTCATAACTCCGACCAGAGAATCGTTCCGCAAATTTTGAAGGTAGTTTCGAGTTCACTGTGTCAAGACGAGTACAATGATATGCAGTCACTGCAAATTTCCAGGTTGACCTTTCCTGGATGACACCTCACAAACCAGCATACTTGTGTGGAGAACCTTGTTTCCGGAAATGTTCTCCTCTCGCTGCGTTGATACAGATGCAAAACTGTTGCCGCAGTGATGATCCGAACCGAGCCCCGCATTGTCGTGTCATCCAGAATCCATCGTGCTATCCGCTACGACATCCGATCCGCCAGCAGTGGTCATGGAGGGAGCGCTGACAAAAACATCACTCTTGCGTCGGTGCATGCCAACTGTGTCACCACATGATAATTACACTTTGACTTTAATTGTATCTGTTTTGAGGCCTAATTAGTGACCACCTCATAAACTATGCATGATCGAAGTTACAAGCAGAAAGGAGCCCATTAAGGTTGTTGAAACCGCCCATTCTTGTCAAATTCTTTTCACTCAGTTTTTGACCTACCCAGAAACGCATAGCAAAAATGAAACCCATTTTTGTGTTCCTTGTATGGACTCCTACAGCAAGCAACAAACCCTTTCCATAAAGCGGCCACGACCTGAAAGACCTCTCTTGTGGGGGTTGGCGCAACAGTGATTGTGAGAAGCAATACTGCATCGAAAAGCTCGAAGACGAAAGTTTTTACTCCCATGACTCACTTGCCAGTCTGGTGAAGGGCACCAAATGGTCGTGCCTTTGCACATATTGTAAGGACTTTTGTGAGGCATTGTGGTTGGTAATAAGAGCTGGATTCCTTGCTGAAACCATGAGCGAAACTTTCACATCATCTTTCAAGGAGAAAAGTGGCCAACTTAGCTAAAAGCAGTTGTGCATGAAAGAAAGGTTTCAGTGCGTTATTTTTTATTTATTTACACCTTAGGACATGCTTAAAATTATTCCGTTATGAGTCTATTTATTTATACTACTTCCTGAGAAGAAGAAAATGGGTTATAATGAGAATTTAAAGTGACATAAATACTTATATTCAAATTAATATTTATTTGTCATTATTGAAACTTGTTCTCAGTGTATAAAACTGTGGTACTACTTTTACACATTTTAAAGACACATGGTACGTTCAAACACATTGAGGGTGTATGAGACTATCAGCCCCCCAGCTGTCGATGTGTCGTGGTCCCTCGCCTAAAAACTGGCACAGGTGCTAGAGTACGGGGCCGTGGGAAAGTCATAATTCCTTGCTGCGCCGCCCGCCGCAGACCCACGTTTTTACTAGCATCGTCCGCGCGGCGCGGTCGCGTGCAGCTTTCTTGGCTTTTTGCCAAGTCCTGTAATTGCGCTTTGGAATGGAAAGTACAACGCAATTTCTTTATGCGGGTAACATTTCAGGTGCTGCAAAAATAGGAACCGAAGATGATGACGAGGGCTAGAACTCAAGAGCAACTGTGCTGCTTCTGCAATATCCCTCAGAGGCCGCGCATCCGCACAGAACATGACAATAAAAACGGACAACATGACAATAAAACTTGGCAATACAAGCAAAACGCAATTTCCTAACATTTGAGGTATTGCTCATGCTTCAAAGTCCGAATAGAAGGTGATGAAGATGACAAAGGCTAGAAATGAAGACCAAAAATGTAAATAAAACAAAGTTGAAAAAACTAAGGAAAAGCAATAAATTAAAATCACGGTGCATTTCTGCGATCCGGCTCGAATCTGGCTCTAATGCTATAGAAATACTTCAAACTAACAAGTAGGACGCATAGGCCGTTTTTATTGTCATGCCGGTGGGAATGCGCGGCCTCTGAGGGATATTGGAGAAGCACCGCAGTTGCTCTTGAGTTCTAGCCCTCGTCATCATCCTCAGTTCTTATTTTGCAACACCTAAAATGTTATCCGCATAAAGAAATTGCGTTGTACTTGTATTCCAAAGAGGACTCGGCAAAAAGCCAAGAGAGCTGCACGTGACCGCGCCGTGCGGACGGTGTTAGTAAAAAGGAAACGGGTGGCGTAGCAAGGAACTAACTTTCCCACGGCCCCGTACTTTGACCACGTGCAGTTTTGGGCGGGGGAGGGGGGGGGACCACGATACATCGATAGCTGGGGGCTGATAGTCTCATACACCCTCAATGTGTTTGAGCGTACCATGTGTCTTTAATCTTTCGGTTTGTTTATTTCAAGGAAGCGGTCTAGTTTCCGCCCTTAGACGGAAACTAGACGACCGTGGTATCCTCCCTCTGCTCTCATCAGTAAGGAAGAGTAGGAGCAACAGGTTTGAGTGTGATGAAATTTATTTATTCATTTCGAATTTTCTAAAGAGATTTTGATGATGTGGCTTTTATTGAGATTTTCAAAATTCTGTTTCTATGTTGTGTGGGTGGTCGAATACGTTCTAATCGAACTTTTTTCAAACAAAATGATGTTATTATTACCTGTGATTTCCTTCTGTCCAGTACTGATATGTGTATATCAATATATACACGTTAATACACAATGTTTAGACAACAGTACACATACACAGTGCTTAGACAGAATTTATTTTTGTTCAAAAGATAAACTCACTGCTGGGAGACCGGCTTGTACATCAGTAGAAGAAATGACGTTACAACACTAATGTTTTACTTGAACGTTTCTTCAGGTCTTATCAAGGATTGTCCTGTTTATCCCGGCGTTTTATTGGGAAGAAATTATTTTTCTTTTGAAAACGTAAAAACAGATGGCTCAATATCTTATCAATTCGATTTATATCTAAGTGAGTGTGGATATGATTGGTTTTGTATAATTAAACTTAATTCTCAGATAGAGCGGAGAATTTTGTCCAACTATACCCCATAATTATAGTTTATAAAATTGTTTTTAGTTAAGCATTTTAAAAGGCAATTGGAAAATCTTTCTATTTTGAAGCCTGACTCTTTTGACTGTTCATTAGTAAGTTTCGACCTGTCTATGATATATTCTACGTTACAACAGGTTCTAGCTATTATTAAAATTCCTGAGTAGATTGTATTGGATTTAATGTGGTATGAAATATTTGTTGATGAATTAGGAAATCGTTTGATAGAGAAATTGAAACTGTCAGTTTTATTGTACATTTTTGTGTGTATTTTTTTTGCTTTGATATTAATTTCTGCAGTTACAGTTTTATTCGCCATTATGTGTTGGTTCTAACATTTAAATATTTTTATATACTTCGTTGAGTTTGTCCGGAATAAATTATGTTTTTGTTATGTATGACAAGTATATGGTCCATATTTCTGAAAGGTTTCCCGTCAAATTTGTTGTTATAATTATTGGGTGAGTAGGTATATTCGAAATAGGATAATGTGAGATCCGCTAGCAATGGACTAACATTGCTTCCCTGCGGTACTCCAGTTTTTTGTGCAAAGATATATTCCGAGAATTGCAGTAGCTGTTTTTCAGTAAGTAATCTGATAAATAGACTATATCTGTACTCGTGTAATAGTTATAGTTTCTGTAAGTCGTACTATTAGTGTAGAAAGTTTTGTAATTGTTGTTAGCAGTGTAATTTTTGTCGCTTTTTTTATAACAAATTTTAAGTATCCTTTAATATGGTACGTTAGATTGAAATTTGTTAGATTAATGAACATGTTGGTGAAATCAAAGCAGTTTCATATCTTCCATATGTATGCTTCGAAGTTGTTCATGTTAATGTTGTTAATTGCCCAACATCCTATGAATTGAGTGTTCTTACATTTGATGGTGTTATTATAATTGATAAAATGATTTGATGAACGCTAATGATCTTGTGAGTTCTATGGGTAAAGGTTTAAGGCTACTTGTTCTTGCTCCAGTGATGAATCGGAATTCTATAGGGGATTTAGTGTAGCATAAATTATCGGTATATTCATATAATCCATGTCTTTGATATTGTCGTTCTTATTGAACTGTTTATGTTTTTGGATTATGCTATCTTGATTTATTGCGTTAATATATGTGTATATAATGTTGGTATTAAGAATATGTAATCGCAGGTTATCCTTGTGTTCTACACCCATTTCTTTCATGATGCTTTGAATGTACAATTTTTTGCATATGATGCCATTATTGTTGTTTGCTTCGTCTAGTGGGCAAAATATGAAGGATTCTTGTAGTTTCTTGATCTCATTTATGAGGCGACCATAAGACGTGCTCTTTTTTGTTCAGCCAATGTGAAAAGAATTTCGGTTTCAACAGCTTTATGTATTTTATATTTAATATTGTCAGTCAACACGGGGCCTCTAACTTTATATCTGTTTTTTATGATGCTTGAGTAACTGTAACTGTTAGCTGTTTATCACATCTCTTTTGGTTACTTGTGTATGGATTCTGTATTTGCATCCTTTATCTAGAATATCTTTGACATGAGTATTATGAATGATTTCTGTATTACCTGTTATTGCATGTCCATGAAATTTGTCTATGCATTTCTGGTAAATGTTCCTTTGGCATATAGAGTTTGAATTTATTAGGTTGTCCGAAAGTTCTCAGCGTTTTAGTGTTACTATTTTTTGTACATTCGTTGCTGATTAAAAGCTCATTCCCCCTTGCGTCTCAGTAGTACATCCTGAAGAGAATTTTATGCGCTATCCGATGGTATAACTGCCGTTTCACCGTTATTTGATAAGTCCTTTTCCCAAGAGTTTGTCAAAAGACCGACTTCGGAAATATTTTTCTTCAACTACAAATCGGGTCGATCCGTAGTCGAGACAGCTCGACAAATTAACCAGGTGGTGGGGGCCCAATAGTGTTGGAGAAGCACCGTGCGACAATGGATCGACAAATTCGCGGTTCTGGAGATTTAAGCACCGTGCGACAATGGATCGACAAATTCGCGGTTCTGGAGATTTCGACGAAGATGTGCCAAATGGCGTCAGCTCAGTGCACCACTTGTCAACAAAAAGGGTCGAGTTGTTTTGCGTGACCAACGAGTCCCGCCCACCCACGACGTTTCAACAATTCACTATCCATAAATTTGAACGAATTGAGGTTAGAGTTCTACCTCACCCACCATATTCTCCGGACCTTTCACCAACTTACTATCACCTTTTTGAACATTTTCAGACTTTCCTTACTGGAAAATACTTCATCAATCGGGCCATGCAAAAGAAGCCTCGTTGATTTCGTAAACTTCTGCGACCAACCCAGTTTTCTCTTTGATGGGACTTTATCGACTGTTTGTTACACTTGGTAAAGTGTGGCTGATTCGAACGGTGCTTATTTGGATTGAATCCGATGAGTATAAAGAAAGTTTATGATCGTTTTGAAGTGAAACAGTCAAAACGCTGAGAACTTTCCGGACAACCCTAATATTATCCTTGAGACTTTGTTGTTGGTAATGTTTTCTTAAGTGTTTGATTATAATTGAAGAACAATTGAGACGCTGGCTTACCATATTTGTAATACAACCGTGAAAGGTATGTACTTCACTGTTGGGTTAGTTTGAATTATTTGGTGATCTGTCTTGAATTGATTGTTTTGTTTATATTAAGTTAATCCAGGACCGCTGTTAATCGAGGTTGGCCGAATTGGCAAAAAGTTTTGTTATGAGGAGTATTCTTTGTACGCTTTTTGAAGTAAAAGTGGCATAGAAGGCACATAATAGAAACTTCTTTCTCTTCGGTTGAGAGAATTTGTCTGAGAAGGCATAAATGGATTGTTTTGTACGATAGTTTCTTTAATTATGTTGTATAGTTTGTTTTTAAGAATCATAGTGACTTCTGGCATTGATATCTTTTTCTAATACCTGTCCTGTTTTTCTTACCTCTTCTCTTTCTCTCTCTCTCTCTCTCTCTCTTTTCTTTGAGAATTTTTGAGCGTAAAATATGGATGTTCGGGTTCATATGTAAGGCGATTAACGATATTGGACATGTTTCCGTATGTTTTCACATTGTCATTTTCCCCAAATGGATATGCTGTAATCAGCAGCTTAATCCGAGGCTTCTTTGTTTTCTAGAACTGTTTTGTCTTTGTTCTCTTTGAAAATGTCGGTATAAATATTGACTTGCATCATTCTTTTGTATGTTGTATAAGCGTTCTCTCACTCTTGTTTTGAGTTTTCTGGTTGTCAGCCCTACATATTGGTATCCAACTGTAAACAATTAAGGCAGTAGATTACGTTTTCACTGCAGCAGTTGGGTTATCATCTATGTACTTTTTTATCTTCAAATTTGTAGTATAAGAAATAACATGATCACTTCTGTCTACAAGGTAACATTTGTTATATCCTGTTTTATAATACCCGCATGTTGGTAGTACCAAAATTATCAAGATTATATGTGTTGTTTACCTTGCTTTTGTAAAATACTGTAATAATAGTTACTTCTACTTAGTGCTGTAGTGGGCCGTAGTGGAAGTATGTTAGGGGGCCCTGCCCACAGTACCGGGGGGGGGGGCGGGGGTGGTGGGGGGGGGGAAGTTTAAAGGGTTTGCCCTTGGCACTTGCAAGGCAATATAGAAACATGAGCGTTGGTGAAAGTTTGTATAATCATACATTTGTTGACCCTTCCGAAGGCGCGGTACCTACCCCTGCTAGTATCCGCTTTTATAAGTAGAGATTATAATTGACACCAGTAACGTAGTCCTCCCCTCGACAGTTGATGAGGCCCACTGCGAGATCAACCTTCGTACCCAGAACGCAAGACTGTCACAATACTGTAGCCCTTGACGCTTTGACCCGAACGAACGCCTCCGTTCAGGGCCTCAGGCGAACAGGCGAGGGTCCTCAAGCAGAGGGTTTCATCTGCTCCAAAAACATTTGAGGATAGCAATTACTTTGAACTTATTCGAGGATCATCAGGCTTCTGTAGAATGAGTAATCAATGTAATCAGTTCGAGAGAAAAAACCTCTGGATTTAGTTGAGATTAGCCAGTGCTCCTCCTTCTTACAGATATGGTGAGAACATGAATATCACTGATAACGTGATTATATTCCTCCAATTTAACGAAGAAAATGGCGCGAAGTCCTTAGAAAACATACTGCAACTACTGCGGGAACTTCAAATGTACTGAAATGTGTAGATGTTCAAAACTAAAATGAGTTGTCCAATCCAAAAAGATGGAATAGGTCAATCTTCATCAGCTTTTTTCCTGAAACAATGGCTGTCAGTGAACCACAGAATTTGAGCAGTTAAACGACGTAACCACCTCGCACCCCGTAGTGCACAAAATTGTATGATTATTTGAGTCTGATTTTTTTATGGATCCGAGGGCAGTGTGGATTGAATCGGCCTATTATTTCGTTTACTTACTTACTTTATTAGCATCGGCAAAAATAAACAGTGAAAAAAAACAAGATATGCTAAGGAGAGGAACACAGATTCCGATAGCTGCATCAAGAGCAGGGGGAAGTGGTTTTGGGTGCGACAGGGAGGGGCAGATTTTGCAACTCAGAAGGACAGTGGCCGCCAAACACTGTAAGTTCGACGGCGGACATAATTCGAACTCCAGATACCATCTTAGTAGGTCCGCTAACCTCGTTGCGGCCCGGCTCCCATTGTCGCTTGAATAGAGGGAGGGGGGGGGGGGGAGATAACACAATAAGAAAAACAAATTTCGCGAACTCGTAATGAGGCTAAAAAAAGCTATGATAAAAGAAACGGTCGCAACAAAAGCTGACGCTAAGTTGCGAATGATACCAAGACAAAATACACTGTAGTCAGTCATGGAGGGAGAATATCTCGAATCAAGATAGACGCGCAAAACATGAAGAAGGACATAAGGGAGAAGAGAGGAAGAATATGAAAAAAAGATATAACACATGAAAGAAGGGGGCCCCGGAAGGGGGGGACCAGTCTGCATTGCTGTATTACAATCAGTCTGAGGAATAGCACAGTCACTCTGAGATGTTACAATCAGTCTCAGAAAGAACACAACCAGCTAATATAACCATAATCAGCCTGAGAAGTTGCAAACTGCCTGAAAGACCAAAAGAAGATCGCACGAGAAGACAGCTCATTACTACAAGTCCAAGAAAACGGGACTTGATGAGTTGAGGCAATCCGGGTTACCAGAACTAGTGCTCGAGGCGAAGAGCTAGGTGATTTTGAAACAGCGATGCGCATTTCCATCTGAAATAACTGCAGTCTAAACTGTTCCAAATATTGACAGCCCTCACTAGAAAGGAATCCTTGAAAGCATCCGTTTTGGGCCTATAAGGCGGTATGCGGTAAGGGTGACCCCTTGACATGCCAATGGTGGAGGACTTTTCAAAAAGATTCTGGAGTTTGATACAGACTTCACCCGTGGTCATTTTATAAAGAAATCCAAAGTCAAATAGCTTTCGCCTAAATTCAAGGGAATCTGCGCTGAGTTTACGGAGTCGCTGCTCGTATGACAACGTACTTATACCTTTGCGAACAAAACATCGATAAGTGAAACTTTTCTGAATTTTTTCAATCTCGTTGACCAGCGATTTGTTTCGAGGCGACCATACAGGCGAGCAATACTCCAACAACGGGCGCACATAAAGAACGGAAAGTCGAAACAATACAGCTGTATCTCGAATCCTGAATGCTCTGAAGATGAAGTTTGCTCTCATACTCGCAGAAGCGGTTATATTATGTATATATTCATCAAACCCGAGCTTGTCATTATATACAACACCCAGGTCTCGAACTCGACCAACAATCGTTAGTGCTTTCCCAGACATGTTAAAAACGTAAGGAAGATGACTCCTTCCGATTGCCATCACAACAGTTTTGGGGACAGAGATGTCACGTTGCCATTTGCAAGACCAGTTCGCAATAGCGTCGATAGCCTTCTGCAGCTTTTCACAGTCATTTAGGGTAAAGATCTATGAGTCATCTGCGTACATGCTACAGTATGTCCCGTCAGGAAGAGATTAGACCAAGTCATTTATGTAAACTAGGAACATAAGGGGCCCTAAACATGTACCCTGCGGCACGCCGCTCGGTGAAATACGAGTAGGATTTGGCATCATTAATTACAACTGATCGTTACTTGGCCTAAGCACCCAATACTTGCTAGGGGCGGTTTAGTCTCAATGCGTAAAAGGCGAAAACAAAAGACTAGGTCAGCGATGGTCCGTCTGTAGTTAAACGTCTTTAGGCCTAATTGTCTCAACGTTGTAACTAGGCATTGAGTTAAGACATTGGAAGGCACGATGAAACAGCAGCCTTGTGAACATCTTCTGTACCTTTTCTAATTTGTTGATTCGCTTTCTACGTGTAGAATTCCAAATCTGATGGTAATACTCAAGATGCGGAAGTACGTACATCTTGTAAAGGCTTAACTGAATGGTTTCATCAGTGCTATCAGTATTACGAAAAGCTGCGAAAAGGGTAGCATATACCTTGTTTACTACATGTTCAATGTGTTTATTAGGTTGCCTCAAAAGTTCGTGAACATTTTTTGAGTATCATATGAAGTCTTTCCTTAGCCATTTCGAGATCCAGTTATGTGGTCTATGGGAAGTGTATTAAGTAAGCATCCCCACAGCTTCTTTAACGTCCCTCCCAGTCGCTGTTCTCATATGAAAAAGGGTAATTGAAATTCATCATTTTCGGCACACTCCGCTATATGAATTTCCACCAAGCCACAACACGGTTTTAGCCACAAGCGGCATTTCTCTGAGTTAGGTCCTGATGGTACCTTCTACAGTACGGAGTGTACGGAGTAAATGGCCTGATCGCTTTCGCTCGAGTGACTTCTATCTGGGAGAAAAATTTCGTCCAAGAAGGGCACCTGCCTTTTATTTGGACCTACTGTATTCCTTGTTTAAAACCAGTTGGTACTAATCAACTTCTATCTAGTCCTTACACTTGACTGGTCCTAAAGCACCTATGAGAGAGGGCTTCGATCAGTTTTGAAGTTCAGTCAAAATTTTTTTCATGAGTTGACCGATGCTCCAAGGGGAGCCCATGTGGGTACTGTCTACAACTTCTCTGCCGCTTCGTTGAACAGCGCTGTAGCTGGATATGGAGTAGCTGTCTCTAGGTGGATCACTCCCGGAATACTTCAAGGGGAATACATGTGAAGCGTCAGTGCCTAGATCCCCCAGAATATATGCATGTATACAGTGCGTAACAAAAGTATGTGGACACCCTCAAATTTTTGTCCTGCAAAATTGCCTCTGAATGTTGCGACATGAGACCTTTAGTTGAATTTTTCATAAGCGAAAACACAGGAGTACACTACTTCTGAGCACTTTGTGAACTACTGTACAATTATTTGTTGTTCTGGAAAGGTTTCTTAATAAGTATGTGGACACCTGAGGAAGTCCGAAGTTTGGCTCCAGATCTGCAATCCATTTTGATGGACTCTAGTCCCCATTAACCTGTTCTCATGCCTCGTCGTGGTAGTCCTCTCTACGAAGACGAACAAGCTGTATTCGAGTTTCAGTGCTGCAGGACACTCGAATAGAGAAATTGCAAGACAGCTTGGACTTTCGGCCACATGCGTTGATATATACCTTCGGAATCCTGATGGCTACCGCTCAGTACCTGTTTCAAGGCACCCACGATCTTTGTGCGCAGAAGACATCAGAAGAATGGCTTCAAACTCCCTGCTTCCTGCGGCACAGGTCCATGCCGCGATGAATCTACCGTTCTCAAAGATGACTATATGGTGCTCTCTTCGATCAAGTGAGCACATCACTCGAGAGACTATGAAGAAGTTCCCTGTCTGACTGCCAAGCGCCAGCTGGCCAGACTGAACTTTGCGCGCGCAAACATGGCGACGTCGTGGGGCAAGCAGTTTCTTGAGATAATTGTAAACTCAGAAAGGCAACATCTTATGCGCATTTCTTTCTTAGGTTATCTGCACTGATAGGAAAGTCAATCTCGACAGTCCAGATGGATATCAGCATTACCGGGAAGACCTTTGTAGCGATCAGTCGATGTTCTTGAGACGAAATTTCAGAGGCGCCTCTTTGATGGTACGGCGTAGTTTTTCTAACCTCTTGCCTTTTCTGAGCGGGTCAAGATGCAGGACACATGTGATGCGGCAGGAGAACACGGCCGTGCATGTTCCAAATTTTACTAGAAAATGGCTCCAACGCAATGATATCAAAGTGATTGATTGGCCGGCGTATCTCCTGACTGCACCACAACCGAAATCCTGTGGGGATCATGGTTTGACGAATCTACATGAACAGTGGGCAGTACAACAGCGTGCGAGACTTGAAGGAGGAGGCAGCTGCACCATGGGAGGAAAGCGACGAAGACAT